ATGACTTTGCTTTTACCATTACTGTTTGGGTTTTTAATGAGTTTGTTTCTTTTTATTATTCCAGTAAAGGTTTACAAATCATACTGGGCTTTCATACACTCATTCATAGAGAATGTTTTTATGAAAGTTCCCATGGTGATGATGGAATCACACGGACCCCCCCTTTAAAGCTTCTTCAGACCAGCTGGAGAGAAGAAGCTGCTTAAACTGGGACCTTGGCAAGACACTAGTTAAAGCTAATATAAGCCTTTCTATTTACCTCTGTAGGTTAAATTGATGACATTCTAACTTTTTAAATTTTTTTTATTTCTTTTTTTTACATTCTAACATTTTAAGTGACTAAGTTATAGGGGTTGTTTTGTTGTTTAAGTTTTAGTAGTGCTGAAATTTGCATTTTGAAAGTAGCTAGCAGTTTATACAGATGCCATTTCTTCAACCATTAATATTAAATGGTATAAAATATAACAGCATTTTTGAAGGATCATATTTTTAAAAACAAAAGGGGGAAAATACCTAATTTAAAATCTAACCTTGAAAACTTAACTATAATTCTTATTTCAACATCCAAATGACCACAAATGAGATGTTTTATTGTTCAGTACAAAATGTTTCATTAAAAATATTTTTATAAAATATGGAAACTATATGTTATTTATTTACAAATATTATACTTAAGATATTTCTTTATAAATGATATTTCTTATAAAATGTATAAATATATACAATGTAAAATTACAGAAAATAGTACAGTCCCCTCCAAAAAAAGAGAGAGAATCCTTGCTTATAAAACTGCTATTCTACCAGTTAGGCAGTTATTTCTAGTACAGCTTCTGCCATTCAATCGGCTACCTGTATATCCAAGAGAAATACGTTTCCTTAGTTGTTGCCAACTTTTAATTTTGGTGGAAATGTCTCACTTTGAACCAACTAAGGACATTTGAAACGGCCGCTTCAGAGTACCGTTCTCCATCCAGTCACACCTCAGATGATGTATCCATACAGAGATGCACAGATGGCCGCGTTGACTGCCGCATGATGTCTGATTAATGCAGGCAGGATGGAAAAATAGGGATTCTCACATCACCAACCACGACGGTGCCTCAGCTGGGTTTGTACTTTATTTGAATTAGTACCAAGCTGTGTCTGAAGACATTCTCTCGATTCTATTTTCCCCCTCTCTCCTCACCACCTCAAACCCCTCATCTGGCCATTTACCTGCATGTTTCCTTCTAAAACTAATCAGTTTGGGAAAATGAGGGGGATTCATTAGCAAATATGTAATAATCCTAAAAATACTTGCACCCACCCACTGTTGTGAGTCGGCTGTGGCTCAAGGAGATACTGTCAAACAGCAGAACCTGCCCCCATGGAGTTTCCGAGGCTGTGAACCTTTACATTCGCAAATGGCCTCATGGTTTCGCCACAGAGCAGCTAGTGGGTTTGAACTGCTCATCTTTCAGCTAGCAGGCCAACACTGAGTTCACTGTATCACTAGGGCTCCTAGAAATTAGCATAGAACTAAGCAAATAATAACACTACCAACTGGAAACGATAACCAGAAACCAAAGGTAGGTAGAGAAGAAACAAAAGAATACTGCAGCATTGAGCAACAAAAAACTTTTACATTCTTCAAGACATTAAATGAATTAAATATCGTACATTTGAAATGAAACTCAAAGAAGAATTAAGGAAGCCTAAAGACACAGACGGTGACAGTGATGTGCCAATCGTGGTAATGGGCACCCCTGGTGGACAGTGTTGGCTGGAGCTTCCTGACTAAAACAAGCCTGGAAGCAGGAGCGGCATCCACTTCTGAAATGGCTTGCCTCCGGAAACTCTATGTACGAACAGTGCTCAAGCCATTAGTTCATAGGGTCGCTATGAGTCGTCTACGACTCGACAGCACCAAACAACAACAACAACAAAGACACAGAACCCAGAAAAGCAAAATAGTGGGGGTGGGAAAATACAACTATTAGAGACACAATGTTAAAATAAATTCCACAAAATTACTGAAAACACAGTCAAGGTAATGGTCAACAAGTTTAAGAAGATTAAGCAACAACAAAGACCTTTTTAAAAAAAAAAAAGTAAAAAGAAAACTGAGACACAGGAGAGTCCAGGCTTGTATAATTGGTATCCCTGAAGACTAAAACAGATCAAATACCGCCAACACTTCAAAGGTAATTGAAGAAAAATTATCCTGAAATAATGGTAATCTTTAATCTGTGTACTGAGAGAACATATGTCTGACAGGAAACCTGAACAAAATAATCAGCTTCAAGACATATGCAGATTGAATGGAAATGAGGACAAACGGTAACTTACACTCAAACTCTGTGCCACTTTTCAAAAGCCATGCAGATTGCGAGAGCAAGTAAACACGTCTTCGGTACATGCCAGCAGCACAACTCAGAGATCACACAGGAGAGAACAAAGCCCAATTTACGTGTAACTGAGACACTCAATGCCCAAGAACAAGAAGCACTCTGGGCCTTTCTTCTAAGATAGCTTTGGGTGGGTTCAAACCATCAACCCTTCAAGTTACGAGTCCAGGTCAAGTGCTTGGCTGTTTGTGCTGCTCACGGTTCCTAGAGGGGTCATATCAACTGCTGCTAAGTCAGTTCCAAGTCAGAGCAACCCTGCAGGACAGAACGCAACTGCCCATCAGGTTTCCAAAGTCGTAGCTCTTTATAGCTAGAGGCTGTCACCTCTTTCTCTAATGAGTTGGCTGGTGGGTTCAAACTGTTGACTTTTGGGTTAGCAGCCAATCATTTGAACCACCATACTTCAACAGCCTCTCAGAGGGGTCCTGTTATTGGGTTGTTAAGTGTTGTCAAGTTGACGACTCATAGTGCAACCTTAAGACCAACAACGGATTGAACAGGTGCCCTCTCCTGCACCATCCTCACAGTTTCTACCACATCCAAGCCCAGTACGGCAGAAACCTCTCAATCAGGGTCATTTAGCTGTTGGGATAAGAGTCACAGTTCTCAAGGCTAGATTTTAAATTACATATTCTTCTTCTTCTTCTCCCTTTTGCTTTTGAAAATATGGCCCCAACTTCAAAACATTATTATATTTTACGCCTTTTGATATAAATGAAGGCATTGTTGGTACTCTCTTTTCTCCTTACCTATGGCCTTCTCAAATATCTCATTAAGCAGGATAGTATTAAAGATTAGAAGACAAAAAAGAAGTTCCCATAGGAAATGAGATAATGGGGTAATACATTGGTTCATTTAAAAAAGTATATTTAGTCCGGAATGAGAGAAGGAAACTTGTCACTGACCAAAAAAAACCACTTCTCTCTCTCACATCCATGAGATCTCATGCTAAAGGCTGAGGCTGTTACAGGAATATCCTAAACACTCATTTGTTGTTGTTGCTGTTGTTGTTAATTGTGTCGAGTCAAGCACAACTCATAGCAACTATATGAACAAAAGGCCTGAAAGCCTTTCTATAACTATCGTCATTTATCAAACTTCATAGAGTTTCCAGAGACATGTTGTTTAGGAAGTGGATGTACTTGGTAAGAAAAATAAAACTTCAAAATCACATCAAGATCATTTAAAACCAACACAGAAAATGGAACTAAGCACTTCCGCAAATAAAAGGAGGAGGAAATTGTAACACTCTCTCAATACCACTCTAACATAAATTTAAAATAAGAATGCCTCAAGTGAGAAACGAAGAAAAAGAAAAGAAAATAGGAAATTAAAAAGGAGTGAGAAGAGAGTAAATAAATACAAGATATAAAATGGGGACTGGTAGAGCTCAGGAAAAATTCTGACAGGAAAAGACAAAAAGTGTCAGAAACATCAAGACTAAATTACGAGAGAGACCAGTCCTTGGAGAAGGTCTTCATGCTTAGAAGGATAGACGGACAGCACAAAAGAAGACTGCAGATGAGATGGATTAATACAGTATCCACCTAAAATATTATTTCCAAAGTGAAAATGTGAGTGATGGACAAATGTACGTTAAGAATATGCAAACAGAAATAAAGCCAGGATCATGGCAAGGCAGAAATAATGCCAAACCTCAGTTAAGACAAAGAAGGGGCATTTTCTAATGTCAAAAAATGCTATTAAAAAAAAAACTCTACAAAATAGCATTATGGACGTCTAGGCACCAAAAAATCAGATAGTAGAAACTAATGGAGAAGTAAGGAGAGACAGAAACACTGCAAGTAAGAGGCATTTTCTCTTTCTAATCTGAATAAAGACTCACAAATTAAAACCAAAAGTGGACACAGAAGGCCTACACAATGTGATCAATGAGGCAGATCTTACAGGTAAATATATGACGCTTTGTTTACTAAAACTAAAGAATATATGTTCTTTTAAAGTATATATGGAACATTTACCAAAAAAAGTAAACCCAAAAAAATATTTTACAAGATAAGCATTTTTCTATAAAACAATGCAACAAAACCTAGAAATTAATAATACAATTATTTTTAAAGCTGCTTCTTCTTGGAAGCTTTAAAACCATTAAACAATTCCAGCAAGCTCAGTGCTGTTAAGTCACAAGTTTGAGATAAGAGAAAGAGGAGAAACTGCAAATTAAGAAATAACATGGGCAAAATACCATGAAAGCAGAGAAATTAAAAAGTCCCCGAGAGAAATTTGCATAAACCAATTCCCAAAATGTGAAAATTGGAGATAAAATGGATACTTTCCTAGAAAAATGAAATGTATACAAACTGACCTTGATAGAAAAAAATGTACCAACTTCTAGAAATGATTTTATTTTTTAAAAAACTGTCCTAATACTTAATCCACAAATACCACAGCCAGACAACTCCATGAGGAAAACCTAGCAAACCTTTCAAAAAACAACTAGGGTTTTCTCTCACAGAACTACAGAGTGGGTTTGAAACACCATCCTTGTAGTCAGCCCCTACACATTTTTTAACCACAGCACCTAGGGGGCTCTTATGAAAAAGAACCGCATTAGATTATAGAGGTATGAAACTGGTTGGTGTAAAGACTTACGCAGTGATTTTCCTGGGTACAGTTTTGCCTGGGGATACCCAGGGATCATTCTTTCATCTCGGGCTCTAAGATTCTCAAGTTCATGCTTGATAATGAACTGACATTCTGCCATTGTGAGGAAATCACTGTTGTTATCTAAAATGAAAGCAAAAGTTCTGGTTAATGTCGCTGTAAATGAAGCCAAAGTAAAAAATTAAGGAATGATGTTTAAATTGCCCAGGTGTATGAAAATAATGAGGTAAACAATAAAAATTAACATAAGTAGAAGCAAAGCATAAAATTTACACACAAAATACAACATAAGGCTCCACAAATATCTTATAATAATGAAAAATTCAGTTATATGTTCACATAAAACAATTCTTACATGTCTATCTGTGTTTCATTGATTATGCAAAGGCATTTGACTGTGTGGATCATAACAAACTGTGGCTGACTCTGAGAAGAATGGG